CTCCAGATTCAGTGCAATCCCTATCAAAATATCAAAGACATTTTTCAGAGAGCTAGAACAAATAATCCTAAAATTTATATGGAACCATAAAAAACCCCGAATAGCCATGGCAATCTTGAGAAAGAAGAGCAAAGTTAGAGGTATCACACTACCTATTGTCAAACTATACTGCAAGTCTACAGTAATCAAAACAGCATGGTACTGGCATAAAAATACACACATAGATTAATGGAACAGAAAAGAGAGCCTGAAAATAAACCTGCACCTCTATGGTTAATAAATCTATGACAAAGAAGGCAAGAATATACAATGGGGTAAGAATAGTCTATTCAATAAATGGTATTGGGAAAACTGGACAGATACATGCAAAAAAATAAAACTGGGCCACCTTCTTACACCATACATAAGAACAAACTCAAAATGGATTAAAGACTTAAATGCAAGATCCTAAACCATAAAACTCCTAGAAGAAAACATAGGCAGTAAACTCTTTGAAATTTCTCTTAGTAATATATATTTTTTGGGGGGATATGTCTCCTCAAGCAAGGAAAACAAAAGAAAAAATAAGCAAATGGGACTACATCAAACTAAGAAGGTTTTTCACAGCAAAAGAAACAAACTATCAACAAAATGAGAAGACAACCTGCTGAATGGGAGAAGATATCCACTAATGACACATCTGATAAGGGGTTAATATCTAAAATATATAAAGAACTCATACAACTTAACACCAAAAAACCCAAACAATCTGATTAAATGGGTAGAGAATCTGAATAGATATTTCTCCACAGAAGATATTCAGATGGCCAACAGACAAATGAAAAGATACTTAACATTACTAATCATCAATGAAATGCAAATTAAAACCACAATGAGATATCACCTCATACCTGTCAGAATGGCTATTATCAATGAATTAATAAACAACAAGTGTTGGTGAAGATGTGGAGAAAAAGGAACCCTTGTGCACTGTTGGTGGGATTGAAAATTGGTGCAGCCACTATGGAAAATAGTATAGAGGTTCCTTAAAAAATTAAAAATAAAACTACCTTATGACCCAATAATCCCACTTCTAAGTATTTATCCAAAGAAATCCAAAACACTAATTCAAAAAGATATATGCGCCCCTATGTTCACTGCAGCATTATTTACCATAGCCAAGATATGGAAGCAAACTGAATGTCCATTGACAGATGCTTGCATAAAGAAAAGTGACACATATATATAATGGAATATTACTTGGCCATAAAAAAGAATGAAATATTGGTATTTGTGACATGGATGGACCTAGAGGGTATTATGCTAAGTGAAATGTCAGACAGAGAAAGATGTGATTTCATTTATATATGGAATGTAAGGAACAAAATAAATGAACAAACAGAACAAAAACAGACTAATAAATTCAGAGGAAACATGGTTGCCAGGTGGGAGGGAGGTTAGGGGGTCTAGGTGAAAAAGGTGAAAGGATTAAGAAGTAGAAATTGGCAGTTACAAAATGATTCTAGGTTTGTAAAGTACAGCATAGAGAATATAGTTAATAATGTAATAACTATGTACAATGCCAGGTAGGTACTAGACCAATCAGGCAGATCACTTCATAAGTTATAAAACTGTCTTACCACTGTGCTGTACACTTGAAAGTAATATAATATTGAGTGTCAACTGTAATTGAAAAATAAAAAAGTGAATAAAAATGTTTTAAAATAGTTTTTAAGATGAAAAAGTACTATACACATAGTAGAAATTTCAAAAGGGTATAGAGTAAAAAGTGAGACTCAAAAGGCAATTTCTTATTTCTAGTTTTTTGTGTATCCCTGTAGAAATATTATATGTATAAGCAAATAAATACATTTCTTCCATATATGTTTCTTTATTTAAAAATACAAATTGAAGCGAATTATATGTTCTTGCTAAACAATGTATCTTGGAGATCTTTTCTTCTTATTAGACATAAAGCCACCTTACTGTAACAACTGTATAGTATTCTACAGTAGGGATAGTCTCTCACTTATTTCACCAATATCCTATTTGTGAATTTTTTCCCAGCTCTTTACTTTCTTAATCAATGCTGCAACAAATATCTTTCACATGTCTATGTGCACAGGTGCAAATATATCACATAGATAAATTTATAGAAATAAAATTGTTGTGTCAAGGAGTATGAATATTTGAAAAAAAAACTTTGACTGGTACTGGGAAATTGTCTTCTAAAACTGTTTACAATCTCACTGAGAGTATATGAGAGTGCTTGTTTCTCTCAAACCTTGCCACTAAGTGTATTATTTTTTTTTTACTTTTGCTAATTTGAGAAAGAAAACTGTTTTCACTTGCATTTTTAAAAACTAGGAGTACAATGAAGAAATAATACTTCTTAAAAATTATAATTAGTGATCAAACAGAATTTTTTAAGTAGTATCTGACTGTAGCTCTCTTTTGAGAGAGGGGTCCCAGGGAATTTATGGCTGTAGAAGTAAATTTACATTTACATAATGTGCAGTGATAAACAGTTTTAACAAGAGACAGTTTCATAGATAGGTTTCATTTTTTGAAAAAGGGGAAGAAACACCATTCTGTGGCTCGATGTGGGTTTGTCAGTTATTGCCTCCCCCCTTTCCGGGACTTCCCACTGTTCTTTAGAACAAATCAGATGAGCAAAAACAACTTTTTCCATAGGATCAGTTATAAAAAGAATGGAAATGCAACAAGCAGCTTAGTTTCTTGTTTTTTAGCAGTGAAAAGAACACTCACCAAAGGCTTGCGAACATTTCTGGAAAAAGCACTGCCTGGCTTATTCATCTCTTTATGGTCAATCGTGTTTCTGCAGGACCAAAGGAGCAGATTGGTTAGTGAAGGTAAGAAAAAGGAGGCAACAGGCCTTATAACTGCTAACTTTTTCTGCCATTTCTCTTCTCATATTTACTTAGTCCCTTTATCATCGGAACTCAGATCCAATCCTATGACATCTAAAATGCTATTCTAGTTTACCAAATCAAAGGTGAGTGGGAGTTTAAGTAAACATTCAGTGGAATTGGACGATAAGAGAAAAATGAAGTTAAACACCCCTTTCTCTTACTTTTTCATGTTCACATTTGGAGAATTTCTAAAATATTTTTTTACCAAAATATTTGACTGGTCTGATCAAATATTTGTTGTGTAATTTATTTAGTCTTCATTCACTAATTCCTATACAGGTTTAGCTTCTGTGTTTTTAAAAGAAGGTCAACTATACTTTCATAAAAAAATAAACAAATAAAAGAAGGCCAAAAAACCTAAGCAGAATTTTGCAGGGACAGCACAACTCTTTTTTTTGAATATTTAATTTGTTTAATTAAAAAGTGAAAGATACTAACAATTATTCACTTACTACAGAAATACTGTGTTGAGTTTTTCTCTTTGAATATCCAAATAATTTCAACTTTATTTATAAAAGAAACATAATTGTAGACTGCTTATTTTATTTTATTTTATTTTATGGTGATATTGATTAACGAAATCCAATAAGTTTCGGCTGTACACTTTAACAATAGGGCATATATATATTTACACTGTGACAGCAGAACTCTTGAATTCAGTTATAGTGATGTAGTTTTAGAGAGAAATACAATCATAATTAATTCCAATTGGATTTGACTCTCAATTATTCATTCAGTGAGTTTGTGATAAGTGTTTTTCTGAGTGGCAGGACATATTCCAAGTGAATGTGATCTACAGTGATGATGCTTTCGAATTGCCATCTGGGTGATTTGGGGAAAATCTACTTGTTGATATTAAAGACAGTGCATGTACAGGTGGGCATTTGTTTGAATTATCTTTAGACCTGCTTAAACATTATTTTTCTTGTGCACATCTATCTGTGCTTGAATACAGACCTGATTTGTCCAGAATGTTCCTATTGGATATTTTTAGAACTTTGCTTGCATAGATCAGTGTAAGAACATTGTGTTTCTGAATTTGAGAAGCTTCTTGAAGGAATAGAGAGTACTTAAAATTTGTATAAAACAAGGTAATCTGGGGAATATACAAAGATAGCGAAGTAATTCTAATATTGCTTTGATGAGATGTTTTCAATAGTTCAAGTTATTGAACCATTACCAATCACATACCTAATTTTTCTTAGATATATAAGATATTGTTCCTCTAAGCTCTTCACAAACATGATAGAATGTAAATCTGCCTTCATTAACTAAAGATAGTTATTAACCTCCCCCATTCTTGTTTTGCAAATCAAAAACCTATATAAAAATGAAAAGAATAGTGCAATGAACACCCAAATTTCCGTCATGTAGATTAATCAGTTGTAGCTATTTGCCACATTTTGTCTCTCACTGTGTCTCTCTCTCTCTGTGTATATACATATACACACATACTCAATTTTTTTCCTAAGCTGTTTAAAAGTATATTGTTGACTTTAGGGCATGTCTAAATTCTTGAGCATGTCTCTTCTAAAAAAAAGGGCGGACTTTTACATAATTATAATGTTAAGGAATTTTAACATCAATAAATTCTGTTATTTAACATACAATTCATATTCAAATTTCCCCCAATTATCCACATGTTCTTTAGAGAGTTTTTATTTTTTAAATTCAGGATCAAATCAAGTATCTTGCATTGTATTTGGTTGATATGCCTGCAATTAAGTGTGTGCCAATGTTAATCAATATAATTGACAATATAATTAACAATGATTAACAGTTATTAACACCAAGGAAATTTAACATCAGTCAATACTATTATGATCATTTTTGGTTTTTTTAGTACTCTCATTTTGTGTCAAAATACTTCAAAAGTAATTTGAAAAAGTGATCATAAACTTTAATTTTTCCATTTGTAAGAAGTAAAGACAGAATATGAACAAAAGTCTAAACTATGAAAAAATATATTTACTAATATTTCTGCACCAAAATTTACATTTTCTGAAATAAGAAAATTTACATATCCAGATAAAGCCTTTAGAAGTAGCTGCTACCTTTGGTCATAAGGATCTAAGTAAAACCAAACAGAAATTTATTTATTTACTTGGTGATGTTAATACAGAAAACAGAGGCTTTTCGACTTATTATGTTACCTTAGCCACCAAATTAGACTTTCAGAAATTAATTCATTAAGAATCACTTCATATTTGATAGAAGACTAGATAATCCCAAATTTTATGTTTTGTAACAGGAATTGAAATATGGATGAGTGATACTTTAGAGCATCTGTCAGCAAATGCCACAAAAGATGAAATAATAGAGAATAAGCCAAGGTATATGATTAAATGAATGGTTATTTCCAGCTCTAAAGAGCCTGTACTTTCAAAGATAAGAGGAAGGAAACTGCAGATACTTTTTTTAAAAATTAAGTTTATTGGGGTAACATTGGTTAATACAATTATATAATTTTCAAGTGAACATTATAATTTGACATCTGTATATTCTATTGTATGTTTACCCCCCAAAGTCCAGTTGCCTTCAGCTACCATATATTTGATTCCCCTTATCCACTTCACCCACTCTCTACCCCACCTATATTTGACCCCTTTTACCCCATATAGCAACCCCCTCCTCCCCCATCACCTACCCTCTGGTAACCACTAGTCTATCTATAGTACATGTTCATGAGTCTCTGTTTGTTTGTCCTGTTCATTTGTTGCTTTTAGGTTTATATCCCACATATAAATGATATCATGTGATTTTCAACTTTTTCTGTCTGGCTTATTTCACTTAGCATAATTAGCAGATACTTTTTTATACAGGGAAATCCTTCCTGAAGAAACCACTTGTTTAGGGTAAAGTTCTTGTATCCTTCCCTAAAAGAAAATTAAAAAATGTAATATAGATTTTTTTACATTATCATAACTAGATTATGAACAAAATAATGTTCAAGTTTTTAATGATAATCTTCCAGTGGTTTATCTACAAGTCTCCAAAATCAATACGATCTTAAAATATATGGATTGGAATTATGGAATCTAGAATTTAGATTATAGGGGAAATAGAGAAGTGAAGAGATGAAATAGAGTATTTTGAGAATTTGGGGGTATTAAAAAATAGCAACCCTGATACATCACCTACACATAATCTTAACAAGACAGTTTGCTTCACCCTCAAATTTGAGGCAAAAAATAAATCTGATTGGAAAGCTAAAAAATAATAATAATGTGTTGAAGAATGTCAGTGGAGAAAGTTAATCTCAAACATTGCTGGTGAGAGAATAAATTGGCCCAAGCTACTTGAAAGGCAATTTGCAATAGCTATGATGCAGTAATTCAGCTTCTCCAAATCTGGTCTAAGGAAACATTCACGGAGGCATATGCAACGATGACACATATTTAAAAAGCAAGAAAAAATGGACTGTCCACTATGAGAAATGATTTACTAACATAAGATATATCTGTGGATGTACAATTTTGTAACTATTAAAAGGCAGATCCATATAAGCAGCCATGCTGACAGATGGGAACCAAACTGCACCTTAGTTAGCTAGGCCCAAGATCTATGAAACAGCAGATGTTTTCCTGTCATCAGTTCCGTAAGGCTACATCCCATGATGCAGGAGGTAGCCCTGTTCCACTGCCTCCATTTTTGTGCAGCTGTGGTCTTCTTTGCACCATCTCAACACAGCTTCTCAGATGTCTTAGCTCTCATGCACTGAGATTGTATTTCCAGAGACAGGGCTTGTTCTGCCACCTTATCATTATCCAACTCTCCCACTTCCTACCAAACCCCAATCTTCCCACTTTTCTTTTGCTATTGCAAGTTACTCCTTCATTCAAAAGACTGTCTCAATGATTTATTTCAGAGTTTAAGGTAGCAGCTGAATTCTGCTCAAGTTCCATGCAATCCTGATAAATATATTGGGGTAGGGGAGAGAAGAACCTAGAACCATTTTCTAATTGAGGGACATAGATTCTGCATGGATGGCCAGGGGCTTTGAAATGTTGCTATATGAGATGAGACATAAAGGGTATTGGTTGTGGGACAAGGGATGGACAGAGAGCCAGGGCTCTCAGGACAAGAAAAAGAACACAAATATCTGGGATGGGCATGGGGTTTAGGAGAACTAGGAGAAATTCAGCATGGCTGGGGTCCTGGGTCCTGTGGGGAACAGGCAGGGATGAGATTGGGAAGGCAGATAAGGACCCTGTATTATGAGGGCCTAATGTGTATTGATTTTATCTTGGAGGTAATTGGGAGCTGTTGATATTTAAACAGGGCATCTGTAATATTAAATTGCTCTGGTTGTAAAATTAAGGGTGAGATGGTATCAGGCTACAGTGGTGGAAATGGTTAAGGAAAATGTTCATATGGTTAGCTTAAAAGGCCAGAGGATAAATTATTTCTACACCACAAAGACATATGAGCATTGAAACATGAATGGGACATATATGTAGACCTCTGGGCCACCCCTCTGGGGTGGGCACTGGCTGTCTTCCTGGTGCTTTTCTTTCTGAACTTCACTACACCTTCCTTCCTTTATTTAGCAAGTGCTGTTGTTATTAAATGGAGTCAGGGCTGATACCCATTTCCTGGAAGGACTAATTGCTTGTCATAACTGTGTGATATTAAGTGCTCCCAATTGTGTAGTAGTGTGATAAATTTTAAGATCAGACCACACTCTTTGGACTTTGTAAATTTGGACTTGAATCTTGTCTTTAGTACTTAGTTGCTTTGTGACCTTGGGAAGGTCATTTGTCATACCCAGATCTCAGTTTTCTCATTTTGAAAACTAGATAGATTATGATAATATCTAACATGTAGTGTTCTTGGAAGATTAGGGGAATATATGGAAAGCACTTGACACAATTGCTATTATTATTATGTCCTATCCAACTTATTGCATCTGCTTTTTGACTTAGGTCAAGGGTATGAAA